ATGTTTCATGTTGTTGCTGATGTTTCATGTTGTTGCTGATCTGTTTCATGTTGTTGCTGATCTGTTTCATGTTGTTGCTGATCTGTTTCATGTTGCTGCTTTTCTGTTTCATGTCGTTTGCTGATCTGTTTCATGTCGTTGCTAATCTGTTTCATGTTGTTGCTGATGTTTCATGTCGTTGCTGATTTGTTTCATGTTGTGTTCATGCGTGCTCATCTGCTCACACAGACTCATGTTCGTGCTGCTGTTCAAAGTAACTGAACTGAAATTGCCCTGCTGAAGGTCTTTAACGACATCTTCAGATCCACAGATACCGGTGATTCTGTGCTGCTTGTCCTGTTGGACCTCACAGCCGCCTTTGACACCATGGACCATGAGATCCTCATTGCTAGGTTGGAGCAGTGGGTGGGCGTCACAGGATCAGCCCTCAATTGGTTCAGATCTTACCTCGCTGACAGATCCTTTTGTGTCTCCATCAAGGATTTTAGTTCCGCAGAGGCAGAGCTTAAATGGGGGTTCCACAGGGGTCCATCCTGGGTCCCCTCCTATTCTCGTTATACCTGCTGCCGCTTGGTGCTATTTTCCGGAAACACAACATGCCCTTCCACTTCTATGCCGATGACTGTTAAATTTACTTCCCCCTAAGACACAATGGTACATGCTCTATTCAACCTCTGCTCAACTGCCTGGCTGACATCAGGGACTGGATGGCTTTAAACTTCTTAAGTTTTGATGAAAAGAAGTCTGAAGTCATGCAGTTCCCTCCCAACGACACGATCACAAACCACTGCATCGACCTTTCCACTCTAACCCTGTCAGAAAAACAAAGAGTCACTAATCTGGGAGTGATAATGGACCTTTCCCTGAAACTTAACAATCATGTAAACATGATTAAATCATGCTTCTTCCAACTGAGGCGGCTGTCTAAACTGAAGCCCATATTGTCCAAAAAGAACCTGGAGACAGTAACACATGCATTCATTACATCTAGGCTTGATTACTGCAATTCACTCCTGTTTGGTATCAGTCAGACCTCCATTGCACGACTACAACTGGTCCAGAATGCAGCAGCACCATTTTTAACCAGTACAGGCAAAAGAGAGCACATTACACCAGTTTTGGCCTCACTGCACTGGTTACCAGTTCACTTTCGAATCCAGTTCAAAATACTCCTGTATGTCTACAAAACACCGGCCCCCCCACCCCCCCCCCCGTCTCTCTGATCTGCTACAACCGTATGTCCCACCACGCTCCCTGAGATCAGCGGACCAGTTGCTCCTCACAGTTCCAGGAACTCGTCTTAAGCGCAGAGGTGACAGGGCCTTCTCTGTAGCAGGACCAAGACTTTGGAACGAGTTACCTCTGCTTGTCAGACAGGCCCCCTCCCTCTGTTTTCAAGTCCAGTTTAAAAACTCACTACTATTCAGTAGCTTTCAACACCAGATGATCTGTGTTTGATCCTGTATGCTCCACACTGGTTTGTCGTCATTATCTGCATCGTTTTATGTCTATATTCTGATTTACCTCATTTTGTATTTTGCTTTGTGTGTTACCTGTTGTTCTGTCTGTACAGCACTTTGGTTGGCTTTGTTGCTGTTTTAAGTGCTTTATAAATAAAATGGTATGGTATGGTAACGTAATGTTTTTATACTATTAGTGCTTAGTGTATATTTAGTTGACGTTTTTCTTACTTCATATCTTTGATGTTATCACTGTTTTTATTTTACATTTTATTGTTGGATGGAACTGGGACCCTGTGAACATCATTTTGTTCCACCACATGAGATGAGAATGACAATAAAATGTTTTTAGAGCCGTCTTGTTATAGAGTCAGAAAAGTTTACGAAGTTCAGACAGACTCCTTGTGGAACGCCTGAAAAGAGGCACAGAGTGACTGAACTTTGATTTGTGGTGAAATGTATGATGTGTAGATCTTTGTGTTTGTGACGTCATGGACTCCAAACAGCACATCGTTCCAACTTCAACAGAAATTAGAGACGATCTTTGTCTGGATGAACCAGATGCCTCGTTTCCAGAAGGATGCAGTCATGTGACAGAACATAATCATAAGTATCCTGATGCATGCTCAATAATCCAGGTAGAAAAATCTAAAAAAGTTCAATCTGGTCCTCTGGACATTCAAAATAAACAAAAAACAAAACAACAAAAAATGTAGAAACGTTTCGTCTCTCATCCTGAGGACTTCCTCAGTCTGAGGTGCTGTATTC